CCCCATGGAGCAGTTCTACTCATATGGGGTCACCATGAGTTGGGATCAATTCCACAGCAACTAACAACATGGAAAGTTATTCAAAGTCTCATTATGTATTTTAGCATGGATAAAATCGAGCAATGTCAGAAATGAAGGATAATAGAAAATATCTAGTTGAAATAAAAACTGATACCCAGAGAAGCAAAGTAAATTGACCCATTAAGAACCTGTGTCCTGTGTTTCTCCTAAAATATTTCTTCTTATTCCACTTTTGCTAGTTTACTCCTTACTAATGGACCTACTCAAGAATCAGACACAGGAGAAAATGCTGATGTTTTAAAGTAAAGAAAATTTCATAAAATATTTAGGAGAAAAAAAGAATTTTTGGCTAACACAAGTTAGAGTATATATTCTGTAACTTTTTTTTTTTTTAATGCTGCATCTAAAATTCCTTTGCATTGATTGGCTGCTTGATTAAAGCAAGTGTTTGCTAAATGAATGAGTTATAGTAATTTCACAGCTAAAGAACATAACAGAAGATGCCTTATTTTTAATAAATACAATTCTTAATGGAAGCCCTGGTGGCGTAGTGGTTAAGAGCTAAGGCTGCTAACCAAAAGGTCAGCAGTTAGAATCCACCAGGTTCTGCTTGGAAGCTCTATGGGACATTACTACTCTGCCCTAAAGGGTCAGGGGTTTATAATCCTTTAATAAACTGTCTCACTTGTATAAAACAATTTAGGAAAGCTTGTCTAGACACTTTGTTGTGGAGTAGATTATAAAAAGAAGAAAAAACAAGATCCTTTCCTTCCTTATTTATTCCCTTTCTCTTTCTCCGTCTAATTATCATATTTTTATGCAAATAAATGCGTGCCTTCTATATTCGTTTCCCAACCTTGCTCTCCACCCGCACCCCCAAGGTATTTTTGTAAGTGTGCTATGCTAATTTTTTTTACAGCAACATGTAAAAAAAAAAATTGGCATAGTGCCGTTTGTGAAAATACCTTGAGGGAGAAGAGCACGATTGGCAAACAAATGTAGAAGATGCACATTATTTTCAGAAAATATGGTACATGGCTGTGGATTGTATATGCACTTTTTGTTTATAACACAACTAGCTCTAAACCTACATTTCATCTAAACTTGAGGGTAGGATGCAGCATATGAGTTAAAAATAGTCACTGCATGGCCATCTTCAAAAAAGAAAGAGAGAGAAAGAGGAAGGGGTTGAAAGGGACAGGAAG